CGCGATGTGCAGTTTCGGGCGTTTTTGGCGCGATGTGCAGTTTCGGGCGTTTTTGGCGCGATGTGCAGTACCATTTCTCCTCCAAACATGGTGTGTAATATGACAGCCAAAAAGTTCAATTTTGGTCTTGTTTGACCAGACTACATTCTCCCAGTATTTTTATGGCTTGTCCAAATGTTGTGTAGCAAACTTTAAAATAACTTCAACACACATAGAGGCTTTTGATGGAGAATTACTTTCTAACTGCTTACTGATTGGACAAGAGGATAAAGGGGAAAACAAGTCTCTCAGCACTGGAGGATAAGAAGATGAAATAAAATAAAATGAGGAATAATTCCAGTAGCCAAGCTACTGTATGGCTTTCCAGATGGGAACAGACCCAACAGCTGGCGTGTTGTGTGGCTGTGCTCTCTGATGGTGCTGTGTGCCTTCCGCAGACACCGTTGGAGGTCGAGGTCCTGAATGATGGCAGGGAGACTCTTGCCAGTTGTGCTGTCTCCACTATATAATCCACCTTAGCCTTTGTATGAAACGTAAGGCGTGTTCCTCCTCACTTTGCCAGCCAGGTCGGCTTGGTCATGTACCAGTTTGTCTATGATGTAGATTAACAGGTTGGTCCATGTAAACTTTTTCTTTGGCCTCAGGTCTTTGTTTAAGTCTGTTTCATTTCAACTGGGTGTGAAAAGGTGTCATCTGTCTCCTGCCTATTTTTGAAGTTGGACACGCTTGTGCTAATTATGTCAGGCATGGTGTGGCAAAACTGTAGGTCTTCATTCCACATCACACGTGGGAAAGTTCTTCGTTGGCTTAGCGTGTCACGGGCCACTCAGCGTGGGGAATCGCGGTGTCGAGAGAGTTTCACCATGCTCCTTTTTGCTTGTGGTACTACTGCAGCATTATACAAACTTGCGGTCTGCTTCAGATGAGCAGCAGTTGGTCGTGCTGTGTGTCATCTGACGAGAACAGACACCAGATTTGTAGAAAAATTATGACTTTACTGTATAATTAAGGGCCTTAGATGGAGTACAAGGTTTTATTTTGAATTTCAGACTTAAGATACTTTCTGTATCTGTCTGATGTCTACCTTAGTGTGTTTTTTTTTTTTTTTTTTTTTTTAGAATAGTAATATTCTTCAATGTATTTCTAAATAGTTTTTATTGTTTTTGAAATCTTGAATGGAAATGATCTTTGATTTTCTTTCTAAAGATTGTTGCTATTCTTCCTGGACGTACCAAGTGCTGAATTCAATTTGCATTGGTTTAACACGTCAAGAGAGCGCGCTGGAATCTTCAAGGTTTCAAGGAATCTTCTGTTTAGAAGAATGGATCAAAATCAGGCCCGAGCCTGCACTAGATTTTTCTTCGACCCATTGGTCAGATATCTGATGTTATTCCAAGTCAATAAGGGAAAGGTAATCAAATGAGGAAAGATAGGTTCTGGGTTATTCTGAACAAATGGTTTCTCATCATAGATCTGAAAGCGGGAAAACTTGCGCATAGTCCTGGGTGTTTTCCATCCTCCGTCTTAGAGCTCAGCATTGTCAATGTTCATGGGGTCCTGCTGAAATTCTGGGACATTCCGCTGTTTGTGTTTGTGTTTTTGTTTGTGTGTGTGTTTGTGTGTGTGTGTGTGTGTGTGTGCGTGTGCGCGCGTGCCTGCGTGCATAGACTCTTATACCCAAGGTACTCCCAGATCCACAGTTTCCCCTCGGATGAACTTTCCGCTCAGGCCAGCCGCTGCCCGCCCACCGCCTTTCTCCTCCTGCGGTGTATGTAGGACCACATGAAAGATCACATTCCCCCCACACGCTCAACCGAAATGTGGTCACAAAGTGCACCTGGTGTTTGGACCCAGAAGTACGTGGCTCCGGTCCTGAAGGGTGCAGGGCGTTCTGGTTTTCATTGTACCTGAGCCCATAATTACCTAATTGAATTCAGCGTGTGTTTGATTGGACAAGGTTAACCCATTTCCTCGCTCTTAAAAAGACTGGAGATTTACCGAGACGCACTCGACTGTTGCCCTCTAAGGCCGCTGCTGTGGACTTAGCTTGGCCTGAAATGGCAGTTTCCTCTTTCTCTGCGTTTCGTGGAGTCTGTTTTGTGTGGGGGCAAACTTATAAATTTGACTAGTGGACAGTTTTATTTATATATGAGTTTTATTTGATTTCTGGCCAGGGTCTTCATAATTTTTCAGTTTGCCATGCCGGATGGATCCTGGGATGTGTTTTGGAGTATTAATCCTTGAACAAATATAACTTTGAATTTAATATTATTCCCTTAATGTCAATAGAAGTGGAACAGAAAAGCTGAGAAGTAAATCTTGGCTGCTTGCTCCTACTAAACACCCATTAGAAGTTTATCACAAACCGTTAAGTTAGTCCAGGGTTCCCTAGCGGTAATACATGGCTATTTGTCAGTATTTAGGCTGTAAGTGTGAATGCAGTACAGCATTCAGTACTTGAGTCTGTCAAATGGACCATTATCAACATGGGTTTATATAAAATTCTATTGAATAAATCTTTATATAGTACCTTTCACGACAGTCGCCCTGAGGCATTTTACTTGGCTGTATTGTGATACATTTCTGCATCAATCATTCAGGATAATTAAAAAATAGGGAATAGAGAAGATGAAGAAATGAATTAAATAAAGCCAGATGAATCAAAAACTCCCAAGTAGAGAGAATAAAAACCCCTAGGGGTCCAAGGTCAACTGGCTGCCCCCCCCCCCGGGGCTACTCAGCCCTCATCACAACAGGGCCAGAGTCACCCATCGTCTTGAATTATAGAATTTTAGCTTTTCCTAGGTCACTACAACCCCCGTTACAAACCCCCCCCCCCCCCCCCCCCCCTCAAGCATACTAATGTTATAGGTTTATATGTGGTATTGCATGTGGTGTTATCTTTTCTAGCACAAAGACAAGAGGGCAGGGATGAACTCGAGTTCTTTCCTGCTTTGGCAACCCTAAGCTTTGGCCTGGGCAGGCTTCCATCGTGAGCCTTGGGCACAAGGCGGGGACTTGCTCAGAGGAGCAACACTCGGCTGATGTCTGTCACAGTTTAGG